GTGCTGATTCTAAATATGGCAGTTTTTACAAGTCAAACCAAGTTCCTTGTACCCGAAAACCGTCGAAGACTAGTCAAAAAAGCGTAAAATTGCGTATAAGCAAAATGATTATAGTAAAAGTGCTTTTGTAGAGGTTGAATTTCAATCTGAAAATGATGCCATCAGAGAGAGGAGATTGATTTGTATGTTCAGTGGAAGAATCTCGCTAATACACCCTCATAAACTAAACCTTCGAAAGCTTGGAAACTCATTATGTGTATCAATATGCTCCAATTCGGGGTGGTATTGACCATTTATCGATTGAAATATATATTATTAGATTGGATGTTTTTATATATCCAGATAGAGATAAAAATTCTGCGTCGAATGAGTCTCTTTTCTTCAGATTCTGATGAAACTTTGGCTGACTTCCAGATCAAAAACCATTTTTTCAGGGGGTCCCAGAAAGTGCTTTAAATGTTTCTTATTATTCGACTAATAATTTACGAAAATGCTATATTTGTAATCAGTACACATAGCTTTATCGAACAAGAAGTACTTCTAGTAAAATTGGAGCAAAATTTTTTTCGATTCGTCAGAGGCACCTTACGTATCATCACATTAGTTCTGATAAAGTGGCACATAAACTAGTAAAAACTAATTGACAATGATTGCTGATTCTAAGAATACTAATATTAGGTTCACATTCGTTGGTAATCCAACTCCACACTAGGACAAAACTTGTTTTTGAATATAAATTAATATTTTGGCAGGATAAACAAGGAATAGATGGATGTTCCAAGAGACTTTAGGCAAGATGAACGGACAAAGAAAACAATAGCTTATTCGATGCAGTTTTTCATGCTGATTTTGAATTGAAAGTTAACATTTTGATTTAGAAAACATTAAAACGATTGCTGTCTAAGATACTGGAAAAGACCACATTTTAAGTCGAAAAATCAAGAAAATATGCATGTATCAGTATTTCGCTGATTTCTCCCTTATATAGTATTGAATGATTGACTTTTTGGTAGCCAAAATGATCCGCACAAAAAGTTGTATCCAATGATACTATTTGAAGACCAACCAGAGATATTTCGTAATAGGAGCCCCACGGAATTACCCATTAACAACAACTAGTGTAAGCAGATTTTTGTTATTGTCTGAAGTATTCATTTACTTAAGTATACTATGTTATAATATTTTTTCGTAAGTTCATATATGGTTTTGTAGCTAATTTAAATCTCTATCGAATAGTATACAACAGAAAACCATATATTTAACTTGAATTGAAAAAATGGGCCTTAAACGACCTCAAGCATTTTTTGTAATTCAGGACATGCTCGAAAATTAATTTTTTTTTTCGAAAATGACCCCTAAATGAAAATTCTAATCCGCTCAGTATATGCAAAATTTTATGGCGCATCTTTCTATAATTGCATTTTTAAAATTATAATGGGTTAAAATCCTGAAATCGCAGGCAAGGTTTCAAAAATTGACTTTTTTACATTGAAAATCCACCCTTATGGAAACTTCGTGTGTTCTCTAGAACTCATCAGGCAATCACTCGAAAAAATTTCAGCGTATATACAACTCGACTTACTCTATCAATTGCCAAGTCATCAACTATGAAATTTTTCGAAAAATTTTTTTTTCCAAATCCAATACTGATAGAGGGTCTCTAGAGGCCTATACCTTGTGAAACCTGTTACTCCATCAAAGTAAGTCCGTTTTCCGAAAAAATCTCAGGATATATACAGTTTTACTTGCTCTACAATCTGGTAATAAAATATATATAGCATAGGGGGGGTACACCCCCCCCCCCCCTTAATTTCCAGTATTAGATGTACCAAGGTTAATCCAATGTAGCAAATGATGGAATAGGTAGATAAATTAGCTTTGATCTATTTCGTTTAATTGAATAAACTACTATAGAACCAAAACAGTAAACACCCATGTCGCACGTTGCTTCACACTGCCGCCGATATACCGCAGTTCTCATGAGTACCAGCGATAGCTCTTACGATTTTGAGCTTTAGCTATAAACGATTTCAGAGTGTGTTTTCTATCCAAGTTCGAATTATTCATTATAAAGAATTCAACATAATCGAGAAGAAACAGCTTAAGAAAATATAAAAATTACCGTGCCATTTATAATGAAAAGTTATTTCATAACTAGAGGTGTACCGCCCGCGCTCACATGAGCATGAGCGGTATCAGCGCTCACGTGAGCGCGAGCAGTCTGCGCTCACGCTCATATGAGCGATCATGAGCGTGAGCGTTTCTTCTGCATCGAATGCAAAATCATTCCTGATCACTTTTATCAACTTTACTCCTCGAAAAATCACATTCCCTATTTTTGAGCCTGAGGTCCCCCTCAGGTATCCTGAAAAAAAACTTTTTTTCCTCATGAACTAAAACAATATGTGCTTGTAGATTCAGAGGTGCTGATTACGAAGATCATACTCAGAGCTCTCAAAATTCTTCCATTACTGAAATAAGTCTAGCAATTTTATGCACCCTTTTTTCATTATTGGCATCCTCTTTGAATAACTATCCACTAAAATTTACCAGAAAACATCTTTTCTGAACCCAAATTTCTAGTTCTCTACNGCAACACACAACCAACCTCCGGCTCCTTTAGCGTCCAATTTAAGAAAGACTTTTTCGTATTTATATTCAAAATGTAAACGATCAATAGCCAATACTATTGATCGCGAGAATCGAGCCACATTTTCTGGAATATTTAATGTATCTGAAGGTGATAGACATGTCATTGCTGTAATATATTTGTCATATTCATCGATCACTGATCCATCTATAAAAACCATCTATAAAATACAGAAAAACATTATCGAGCTAAGCTTGACACTTTATTGATTTTTACGAAATCATTTCTAAACTTAGTCGCGATATGAGGTGATCTTTATTCTCAATTCTATTAAAATGCTCAATTTTTCTTTCGAATATAAAGAATGAGAAAATCGGAATAAGAAATGCTCTTATCACTAATCGTTTTAATTAAAAAAACAATTTTTTTCATCGTTCTAGTCAAGAAGAAATGGGTTATATGTGTAGAAAAAAAACTTACAAGTAACCGAGGCAGATCTTTAAATCCATGTTGACGTAAGAGAAAATTGTGTTTGGCTTTGTCCATTGTTGGTATATCCGGCAGAACAACATTAGTATAATTCGCTAGTTCTTGTCGATACATTTCCATTGTTTCAAAAGGAAAGACCAATGAACATGTTGCATCACCTGTTATTACGTCAAAATGACGTTTGAACTCTTGGACATGAAAGTCGTCGGTGAACGGTATTAGAAAAGAATGACATTGTTGACAAAGACGGGTATATTCTTTTGGATCTTGTTGATAGAGAGGAAGAATATCTCGACCTTGATAGATGATACGCACTTGAATGGACCTATTTAAACGTTTTTCAAAACGTTGTTTGATATCAAGATACTCGCGCAATTCAATTGGATTAGGTGGTGCATAGATAACAATCGCTACACCTCGTTCAAAACCCATAGCAAGCCAAAGGGCTGGTAATAAAGACCTATCACAACCCTAAAGAAAAACCAAGAATATTATCTAATAATTAATAATCTAGTAATTCAAAGACATCATTTTAAAAGAATAAAAGTGAAATTTCTTTTAATAATGTCGAACATTTTGAATTTGAAAAAAATAAAATGGATGTGCTGGTCTCTCTTATGAAAGCATAATACATTAGAATTCTTAGGCATATTCAGAAACGATTAGAAGCAATTTTGATATTTATACTTTTTCAAGGTACGATACTGCTTAGACATGAGCGAGGTCAGTCGTTTTTAGTTCTGGCCCTAGTTCCACCATGAGCGAGACCATCTTACCCATATATATTTAGAGCATCCGAGTCGTGACATTATGACATTCGATACAAGTTTTACACGGTCATATAAGGTATCGTTTCAACTGAAAAAGCGCTGGCTCTGATCTTGGTCAAACGTATGCTCCTTTACTGAAAAGTACCACAGTTAAATACCTACCACATACGTTAATAATCGAAAAAATCATGATGTTCTCTTGTTTTGATTGGATCAAAACAACGAGAAAATTCGGGTGTGGGTGTAGATGTGTGTATAGAGTGTGTCTGTCAGTGTGGATTCTAGTCGTCTCTTCACCCACACCCTCACCTACACCCCGACACCCACACCCACACTCACACCCACACGTACACCCACACCCTCAAGATAGTTTAAAACCGATACGGAAATAAGAACTAGAAATAAACGAGTGTAAGTCTTACTCTTATCTGACACTTTCATGAATGCGTGTTTATTTTAGTCATTCTGAATATCGTCTGCAGGCCTCTTAATGCAATCAATTACCTGAACAGCAGAGAAACTGGTTGCTCTTTCGGATTTTGATACTGTTAATGCGACATCGTCCAAAATAATAAGATGTTGAGCTTTAAAAGTCGAAGCAATTCGATAAGCTAGCTCTACACGATATTCAAATTGAGATGCATACTTCATGCCATACGCTTGAAATTCAACAGGCGAAAGTTTCGACAATTCCATTCCATCGTTTCCCATGATTGTATATATGATAAAAATAAGGACTTTTTGTACAGACAAAAAAAAATGTAATACTAATGTAATTGATAGTAGCTTGTTTTTCTTTCTTTTTTCTCAGTGTTCCTGATCGTTTTACCTTGTGAGAATAATAGAAGAGTAATGTAACAATTTAGCCGAATGTGTAGGTTGTTGCTTATCCTCGATTGAAATGATTGTGATGCCTTGTTCTGTCTGTCATACTTCTCTGTATTTTCATCTCTTTCTTCTCTTAAATGTACTGTGGAATGACATTATTAGTTTGCCTTCCCTCGTACATAATGTTATCCATAAAAGGAATAACCGCAATGTCTTTTTTCTATTCTTTATGTTTATCTCGTTCTTCTCCTATATGTGCTTTGGAATCGCTTTCTCGATGTGCCCTTCTGTCGTACATAGTGTTATCCATAATTGTAATCTAACATTTGCTTTCCTCTGAATTTGTCCATACATTCCGTACTTTTCTGATATTGTGTCTACTGTACTTCTCAAAGTCCTTCTATCCAAGGAAATAGTATATTACCCAGGACGAGCATTACGACGATCGTATGCGATCGTGTATAGTCGTATACGACATGTATATATGTCACAGGCAAAATTGGCCTTTTTTTGGCGCTTCTCAGTGAAAAATATTTACTGATTTTAATTGGATTTTTCTGCAATAAAATCAAAATTAAAATCGATTGATAATTTTGATTATCGTTCATCAGGATTTAACTATTTCTTGAGATTGTTACTTATTCAGTGTGAAATTTTCTGATTAAAATCGGATTATTTTGCAGCAAAATCGAAATTATTAATCGATTTATAATCTTGATTTTGCTGCAGAATAATCCAATCTTAATCAGAAAATTTCACACTAGATAAGTAACAATCTCAAGAAATAGTTAAATCCTGATGAACGATAATCAAAATTACCAATCGATTTTAATTTTAATTTTGTTGCAGAAAAATCCAATTAAAATCAATGAATATTATTCACTGGGTTCTATCAAATTCAATTTTGACTAGGCAGAAATCGTTCTGTTTATGATTATTTTATATCATCTAATTACCAATTTCTTTCACTTTCATTTACAACGTGTATTGAGTGTTAAATAGCTTTCGATATTTTCTTTTGCAATATCAACAATGACATTATAACAATCAACTTGTTTTCGTCCTATTATCAACGATTTTGCACGTAAAAAATTATATGAACTTGCTGCAAAAAATATTGATGCATTAAATTCTAAATTTCGTAATAAAGCTGTTATAACTTGTGATCAAAGCAAAAAAAAATAATCAATGGATGTGGGTGCGTCTTATTCCCTCTGAACCCACACCCTGTTTCTACAATGGTTGTTTTGCTCCAATTCATGCAGGTCATCTGAATGTTTTGCAAGAAGCACAAAAATATATTGATAGTCTCGGCACGCATGAACTATTGGCTACGTACATCTCTCCAGCTCATTCGGATCAACTGGCAAGAAAACATTGTTCAGAGGATTATTTTGGTATTGAACGTTGTCTAGCTATGATTCGTCTTGCAGTAGAAAATCCCAACTATGTAGTGATCGATTTATTTGAGACTTTTCAAGCACATTCGATTAACTTGTACATTACTATGCAACATTTTGTGTCACGTGTACATTCTCAATGTTAAGATGGCATACGAATTGAAATTTTCTGTTTACAAGGAGAACACACACTATGCTATTTACCACGTGAAAGATTTTTCCAACAGGAATTTCACTGTTTATATGTACTCAATCATGTATTGAGCGAGAATGTAACCATCAATTACAATGCTTCCGAAAGAGATTAAGATGACCATGAAAAAATGTGGCAAAAACTACAAGCATTGTCTTCCTTTCCGAAACGGTATGATTGTTAGTCTCAAGATAATAATGCTACTCAATTTTTCTTGTATTTGACAGATTTCATTTGATCAGAACCACCAATTTGAATCTTTCATCTACTACCATTCGAAAGTGTGCATGTAGTCCGTGTGTAACACGTGAACAGCTTCAAATATGTATTAAGCTTGAAAGTATCACTACATACATTTTACAACATCATATATGGAGTACAAACGTAAATACATTGCCATTCGCAATAGCATCTTCTTTTGCACTTCCTCGTGACATTGCTGAACTTACACCAGAAATTCTCTCTCGAATGCTTTTCTCATCATCGAATGATTCAATGAAAGTAATTTTCTCTGAATCAAAACAGATTAATATTGGTCTAGGTTGGGGCGGTTCCATTTTCTATCTTTATAATATTCACTATTCGCCTACTACTGTTGATAATCCACCACAATCTATGGTTTTGAAACTATCGACCGGTAATTGAATTACGGAAACAGCAACGGCTGAAGCCGACTTTTATTTGAAGCTTGCTCCACGCATCTCTCACATACGAATTCCACGTTGCTGCTATGCTACTCGATATTCGCAGACTTCTCATGGAACTGTTTTGCTATTGGAAAGATCTTTGTTTGAGTTCAAAATCTTTATTTAAGCAAAGTAATATCGAAGATTCAACTGTGTTTTCCTTAGTAAATATAATAGCATCTCTACACACAGAATTTTTTGAACATCTAATCCGAAAAAATGAAGCGTTTAAGTGATTGCCATCATTAGATTCAAAAATTGCTGATTTAACTGACATCTACTCTAAAAGATTGGCTAGTAAATGCTTTATAAATGTGCTCACGTCCAAACTATCACATATGGCTTACTCATATGCAATAAAACTTCGTGAAGACATTCGAAATCTCTTCCATAAGTTTAGCAATGAAAAGTATACTGTATCCCATGTAGATTTGTGTCTTACTAATATTCTTGTGCAACTTGATGAATTACATCGATTCATCATATTGGACTGGCAAACATGTTGTCGTATGAATGGATTGATCGATATTGCATTTTTCCTACGTAATCTTGGTAGTAGGCGAGCTCAATTACTCGAAATCAAAGTGCTTGAGTTGTAACATAAAGCCTTAGTTAAATATGGAGTTTTAAAATTCAATATCGCTACAATTCTAAATGATTACTGTACACTAGCGCTTCAGTTTGTATTCATAAGATTTTGTTGTTGGGACAACATTTACATATATAATAGCGAGGCATTGATGTGCATCCTAGAAGATATTATGGCGCATAGAAAGAAAGTCGGACTCGAAGCGGATTTCAACGTACAACCAAGGAATCAGACATTAATTGTAAATGACGATGACGAAGATGAGGATACAAAAATAGCTAATCTCTTTGAATGATATTCGAAATTTGACATACAGAAACCTTCTTGATTGAGATCTTTATTGAACGATGTACCTTATGATTAATCTAAGTGTAGAGTTCTGTACACCTCAGAGAGCAAAAGATATCTGGTTTTATGTAGTACAATAAAAGAGTTACACTTCATTCAATTTGCGGTACTTGTATAATACGTGTTTGTGGATAGTTTATTTGTTCACAACCACAGTCGCTTGATTGATCTGTTTTTCCTACAAAGTCAATATCGATACATTTATGAATGGGTGTTTGTGCGGATGAATGAAGAGAAGGTCTTCACTCATACAAAAACTGTTCATTGAGAACATCTCAAACTATTTTGTATGATTTAGAGACATTAGAAATTATGTATGAATGATATGGTCAATCGATATTCAAAAATACTGGTTAAGAAACTGTTAAAATTTTTGTCTTGAACCGAATATCTTAATTTTAGAGAGTGGTAAAGTATCGAAAATATGCAATACCAGAAAAGAATTCATGGAATATTGCTTTCATCCATAAAAGAAAGTTATTTTCATTGATATTGACAGTCGTTCGGGTAATGTTCATGTCGATTTATTTAAATGTTAGCTTTTGTGGTCCTTATCATCTTCTTAACTCATTCAAAATAGCATGTTACATCGATCCATGCAAGATATTGATCACGTACCGCTATTTTCAACATCTTTTGTGCTCTTCGTGGGTAATACATATATCCCATACGACTATTTATATTTGAATATACTGCAGTTAAGATTTTCAGTGATGAAGCCATATGTAGATCAATGAATACTTGTATTCATGTATGTAGATGATGTTCTTTGGACGAATACTTTATTACTGATAAATGTTCATTCAAGCGACTGTGGTTGTAATCTATGTCATCGAAAATAGCAGAAAATTCAACATGATCATGCACTAGACATTTGTTCTTCATTAAAAGCGCGCAATGATAATAGCCAATGTCAAGTTGACTGAAATCATGACTAGAAAATACAACACCAATATTCACCAATGTAAAGTTCTTTTCAGCTAACTGTCACCACAAATCTCTTACCGGACGTATATGATAAAGAGTGTGGGTGTGGGTGGGGATATCGGTGAGGGTTTGGGTGTGGCGTACGCCAATGGCTATGCCTGTGGTGCTTCTTGTCATATATACCAATAGCCATGCCCTCACCCACCCACACGCACACATCCTTGTCAATGGCAGAATGTAGGTGTCGGTATGGAGGAATGTCAAGAAAGAGAAGTATCACACTCACCCACACCCAACTCATCTAGGATTGTGATCATAAACAAGTCGGAAGCTTAAGGGTGTGGGTGTGGTATCAGTATAGACACTGAGGAGAGTGACAATCACGGACAACCTACACATAAACGCTTTCAAGTCACACACGTGCATGAATAGAATTGAAGCGAAGAAAAATTAATCAAGCCGATCTACCTGTTTTTTTCTGGCGTTGTGATAAAGTCTTATGTCATAGAGAATCGTTGAATACGATGATTCGAGTGATCGACGACGTATAGATTAGCATGACGATCGATGGACAGACCCATGGGGCAGTGGAGCTGATTCGCTCTTGCACTCCAGTCGTTTCCACCCACCACAACAGTGTCCTCTTGTGCTTCAGGAGTCCAACGCATCACACGAACATTATTACAATCTGCCACATCGAGAGTACCCGACTTATCGATGAAGAGCCCACTAGGGAGAGCCAATTGTTTCAGAGAGTTTCCTTATTGGTAACTTGCAGCAACGACAATGTCTGTTCGTGTACCTTTACTTCATTTCACTACGCGATTATTGTTGTTATCCGACACGTTGACATTTTGTTGTTGATCGACAAAGATGTATTGTGGAGAGCGGAGTTGACTGAGAAAAGCATCTTCGCCATTACTACCAGCGACGAGAGTTCTCTTGTTGATTCCTACGACTAGATATGGGCAACATGGTCTCGGTCCCGGTCCCAGTCCCACGGGGACTAGGATTGGGACCGGGACCGGCTCGAGAATCAGGACCACCATGCTTTAATTGAAGTGATATCTTTTTTAATTGTGTAAAATTTGTGTTAAAAGTCATATTGTCATGACTATTATTCTAAAAGTTCATGCAAAAATTGTTGAGAGATACCGCAACATATCTCAATGTTTTATACAACACTTATATTTCACTTATTGAAGAAAAAAATACAAAAACAAGTACAAAAAAAAGCAGCATATGAATTTCAAAATATATCGTCCTCATTATTATTTTTACTACTAGCAGTTTCATTGTCTTCATCGTCGCTGCTTGAATCATCAACAATTTCATATAGTTCTTTGTTTACTAATTTTTCTGTCGAGGACTTGTCAGTTGTATTAACATGATGAAATGTTGTTAAAAATGTCAAGTTACTTTTGAGAAACATCGACTTATCAATTTTTGCGGCATTTAATCGTGTCCTTTTATTTGTAATACTTGCTGCACTAGTTGAAAATAAGCGCTCAACGCTGGTATTTGTTGCTGGAATGACAAGGATATCAAAAGCAATTGAGCTTAGTACTGGATAAATATGTTGTTGTTTATCCCAAAAGTCAAGTATATCATCTATATCTGAGTCGAATGTGAAACATATTTTTATGTACCTTTCAATTTCTGTTTCATCATTTGACATACCTTCAACTGATGGATCAGGATCAAAACAATCAGAAAGTAAATTTGTTCTTTTTCTTTTTGGTGTAACTGAAGATGTTGTTAATTTAGCAGATGGTTTATGTGTCTTTGATTCAAGTGATTGTCGTCCATCAATTTCATCTCGTAAAACATTATACAATTCGTCTTTTAATTGAGGACAAATGCTAAAAATATAAATATAGAAAAAAAATGAGCTAAAATTAATTAGCATATCAAGATTAAAATGAGGCAATACTAATTCAATTTTAATGTTGGATAAAGTAATATCGTTTTAGTTAAAGGGCCATCAGTCAATAACACATTAAAACAAATTTTATTGAACTAAAATCTCATTTAGTGATGATAATCTGCTTAAAACGTAGAAAGTTTGTCATATATTTTCAATGGAAAAAAAGTAGGTTGTATTTTAATTTCGACAAGATTTTCTGAATGGGTAGAAGAATTTGATAATTACCCATGTTGTTTTCTCTCAAATTTTCCTGGAATATATACGATTTTTTTAAATACTCACGTGCATGCTTTTAACTTTGGATGTAATATCATCGCCATCATATGTTCTTTAGTAATTATCCATTGAGATTCCAATTCAGATGAAAAAAATTATTTAATCTTTATCATGGCATCAGAATCATCTGGATCCAACTGAGATAATTTTATTAGCTGCATTTTTATTGGAATGACGAGATGAAGTGTTGGTCGTTTTTCAGCACTTAACGTTTCTGTAGCTTGAACTAAAATAGTTAAAAATTTGTCGACATACGGAGGAAGAAAATTAAGTAGAGTCAGTTCAATAGTGAAGCTCACATAATTATAATTACAGTACAGGATATGAATAAAAATAATACTTGCCAAATAATACAAAATATTTCGTAAATTCTTTTAATAAATCCAAATCCATCGATATTAAACGTAGTTTTTGATCAGAACTTGTCAATAATTCATTTATCTCTGAATACATATCAAGAAAATCTTGTATCATTTGAAACGCACTATTCCATCTGGTTTTAGAAAATAAATTGATAGATAGAGATAATCTTGCTTGTATGTGCGTTTGCCTAATATGTGACACAATTGTTTTAACTTGATTAAATGTTTGCTGAATTAGATCACAACCAATATTGCAATTTGTTAATGAATGCTCGATAACTTTGTTGACATAATGTGCGGAGCATCCAATTCTTTTAACTCCTTCTCTAAATGCTGCTTTCATTTTAGGTTCATTGTCCGTGACTATGTAGACATTTTCGTTTATTGTTAAATCAAAGTCAGATAAGATGCCTTCAATAAATGTACGTATATTGGGACTTTTGCTATTAGGTAAATCGTATTCACGGCAAGCGAGTACCATAGATTTTAAACCATGTGTTTTGAAATAGCAATGAAGTGAAACACCACCAAAAGAAACACCAGTGTGTGATTCTGTCCAGAAGTCGACGGTTATTGAATAACGGTTGATACTTTTGATAATTTTTGTAAATTGATTTTTTCTCAAGGTGTACATAGTGTCGATTTCTCGACTAACCTGAAGAAAACATCAAAATTGAGAGCTTCAAAGGTAAGAAAACTTACTGTCGGTCGGTTGGGAATGATTGTTTCAATTGGAATTGATTTACCTAATGAACGTCCAATTGACATTGCTTCGTGAATTACCTTTTGAAAACCAAGACCATCAGCAAGTGCAAACGGATGACTATCAAGAATGCAACATTCTGCAATCGCTTTTTTCAACTTATGTTTTGCTAAACGAGTAGTACGTGATTTATTATGTACATTAACTGTGAAGAATGTAGATATTGGTTTAGTAGATGATGGAACAGCAGAATGAGATTTACATCCAATCGTGTGCTTTTTCATCACGTTTGTACCATCATCAGCTCGCCATTTCAGTAAAGTTTAACAATTATCATAGATAATATAATTTTGTTTGTCGAAATCCACTCTAATGTTCACTTGTTTTTCTTTTTTTTTTGAGCTGTTGTTGTCTCTTTCAAGTGGATTATAGTAGGATACAGATGGATCAGTTTTTTTGATCAAGTCTGATAAATCTTCGGCAGATGGCATGTGAATACCAGAGTCTAAAAAGAAATCATTCAAAAACTTGATACGAAATTTACTGAAATAAGAAAAAAATGTTCAAGGATATTTACCCAAGCAGACAGACATATCGATTTTTCACGTTTTTTGAACAAAAGTAGCGACGTTTAGTCAAATTTTATGCGTTTTTTTCGCTTATGTCAAAACACGCATAAAAAATCGTATTTTTGACGATTTTTTCGACATTTTCTTTTTTTTCCACTTTTTTTTACTCGTTTTTCTGCCAAATTTCGTCAAATTTATGTATGAAAGTGGTTAAAACGTTATTTCTAACTAAAAACGCCCATTGTACCTCAAAAATTTGAACTTTCGAGTGTAAATGAGATACTTTTTTTTATCGAAATTTTTTCTGAGCAACTTTTTTCACATGTACAATACACATAATCATATGCTTTCTGATATTTTTGAAGAGATATTTTTGTATTCAGTTCTGTCTCTACCTTGTTTCTTAAGATGTTTGTCTTCTTCATGCTCGAATGAATAAATGGAAAACAGTGAACTTGTCGCAGTATTACAAATGTTTGTTTCCTGGTGAATATGTGAGAACGTTTTTTTATTTATGTACTTTCAGTTGTATTTGGAAAAATAAAAAATGTACAATTATTTTCTTGTTCAAATTTAAAAACTAATTTCAGTAACAAATCATTATATGAAACCAATTTGAATTCTGATGTATTAATTAATTCTCCATAAACCACAGATATGTTTCTAAATAATTCTTTTCGTAAAAGAAATTCATCATAATAAACCAGATTCGCAGGCATAACAACAAATTGTATATGTTCGCTTTCATTTATTATAGCCATGATAAAACCAATACTATTCGTATTATTATCACGATAAAGTATACAAGAATCATTAATTTTGCTATTGATCTCACGCGTGTAGACAGAGTATTTAATTTGGTTGATCCAGCAGGCTTCATGTGCGGTGAACCGAGTACGAATATGATTTAATAAAAAACAGTTCAGATTGTTGTTATTGATAAATGTTATTGGTTTACCACAACGAATATCAATATGATGATTTGCAGAGTTTTCATCTTTAATAATTCTTGGAAGACTATATCTATTTGATGCGAACATTCGATCAATAAACAAGTTGATTGAACTATCGAAGGATGACATTGATCTTTTTTTGTTCGCGTTAATCATCATATTCAAATTATTTGTAAATTCCTGAAGAACTAAGTTTGGACCATGAAGTGCAGAAACAATTGAACCTATGCAAATAACAAAGAATAGTGTTAGCTTCTTTAATGATTATAAAATTCAACAAACCGACGCAGCTTTCGAAGTTGAAGGTGCTGTAATTGTGAACTGGACCATATGTTTCAAGAGAAGCTGACAAATGACATACAGAATGAACTACAGATGTAACTTGCCTTTCCTAAAAGTGAAAAGAAGGTGAATCAGTGCAACATGAGATCTGATGGATACTTACCGAATACAAAATAGGGAAAAGATGATTGAAATCATCGAGTAATAACCTGACATGTCTGATTTTGGCATCATCAATGTAATTCGACTCTGATATGTTCATAGCGAATGCTAATAGTCGCAGATGAGCATAATGGGCAGCTGGTAATGCATTTCTAAATGCTCTATAAGGGAAGATTCGTAAGAGTTATAAAAAAAAACTACTTGTCATTGAAGAAAAAACAATGTGGATAGAAAATGAAAATAGGTTTATTTCATTGACAGAATACGAATTTCAAAATCAAAAATATATTTAATTAATAATACATTTGGAGAACAATTTTGTTATTCTTTTTATGCAAATAATATTGAAATGATTTAGTCAGAAACTGCTTAAAAATTAAAATCCGTTTCTGAAAGTCGAAGAAACATATGAATAGAAAATTGTAGATTTCTGTGAAGATAAATCTAAATTTGTTCAAAGTCCCGCTTAAAAAAACTATAATGTTCAATTATATTTTTCAATATGGATTTTCTTCAACTATATAAAAAAATAGATCAACATACATATAACCAAACAGAAGTGTTATACGATACTCATTTGCTTTGAAAGTAGACCAATGTCTTAATCGAGATGGTATACGATACGTAGTTGACGGGAATTTCATCGAGTCCAATATTTTCTCTATTGAAAATAATGATTTGTGAATGGAGTATATTTTTCCTCGAGATTTAAACCAACAGGTAAGAAGGCGTCTCTAGAAAGAAAAAAATCAATTATAGGATTTTTTTACCGATAAAACTTACGAATACGCCTGAATAAATGTTATGTAATGAATCAGAGCAAAATGATTTGCCTATCTGAAAATATTTTAGTTGTCTTAAAGAGCAACTTCCCATTTGACCACAAGAAAGATCATTTTCACGTGGTACAGCTTTGGAATAATGACGCTATAAATATTTAAAAGATTGTTATATAGATCAAAGTAGAAGAAAACTTACATCGGAAAGATTTTTTATATGTATGTCATATAAATCGTTGTCTCGCAGATGAATAATTTCAGATTTCTGCCGAATGAAGGTTCTAACTGTACCATTTCGAGTAGGCACTGATTTACCTAATAATAAGAAGTATTTAGTAATTAGCATAATTCAAAATGAGTGTAAACCCTTTATGGTACAATGGGAGCAGCTATAAAAGCCTGTTGGATCGTTCAAGTTCGAGAGCAAAGCAAGTGCTGGTTTATCCATTGTACCAGCTAGTAAATAAGCATGCACTTTAATCAATTGTTTTCGTAAATGAGGAGGTGAAATATAAAATCCATGTTCTAACTGAACCAGTTCGTTGACCCAATCCCTAATCATCAACTGAAATGCTTCTTTTTTTGGTTTTTGTTCTCCTAAAGATACTGAACAAATAACCATATTTTCTTGTTTAAATCTAACACGTCTAGGGAGTTCGTTGATAACAACACAACTAATCCAAATTGAACGATTAATTTGTTTAACAAGTATTCCATCAGTATTTAATAATAGGGTAATTATTTGCCTATTCTTTTCAATAGCTCGTTCAGTCATCATTAAAGATTTGTAGGCAGATGTGTTAGTAATATCAGTTAATTGATTACTAGATGAAGAAATAAATGCATCGACAGGCTGTCTTTCCAAAATAGAAGTTATTTGTGGTAATAATTTAAATGTAATAAGTGATGTTGGAGTTATTGAAAAATGTTGATAATCGGTGCACGCTTTATTTTCACATTTATCTGGATTAGTACCTTTGGTGTAACATTTGGAACATATCATAAACATTTTTCCTGTAACAGAACTTTCTTCATCTTTAGCCAATATTTTTCCGATTGCTCTGCAATCAACTGGAGCGTTTTTAATACCTAATCGTCTCAAAAGTTTACATAAATCTGTTAAACATGATTTGGTAATTTTATGTCGATGACGAAAATAAGATAAGAGAACTGCTAATTCTGTAGAAGAAGGTGAAAGTAATGGTGTTTCAGAATCAAAAAAGAAATTTTTATAATTTGTTTCATCTGAAATATTTGCATCATACTCGTTTTCACTAATGGCATCATCATCAACAATTGGACAAGACGTGGACACAAAGTCGCCATCGATTATAGTAGTTGGTAATATTTCTGGTTGTTGATTAAATTCAGTGAGATCTACCGTATCAAGCACATCTTCAATCGTCTCAATGTTCCTGTGAACCAATTTTTCATCATTTTGAACTTTACTAAATATTCAAAAAGAAATGATGACAGTGTAGTGTAATGCTTACTTCATTTGAATCAATGGCAAAGAAATATTGTCCAGAGCAGCTTGATGAATAATATGCTGTTGTGCACGTCTAAGAGCCATACGTTCAGCTCGATTGATCAAATGATATGGTTTACAGTCCATCTTTTTTTAATTAATTTTCTAAGATAAACAAAGATCAATGAAACTTAATTCTCTGCTAATTAAGATTTTAGTCAATAGTGAACGATAACGAAGATTTACCTTTTTAAAAGATGCATCACGAGAAAAATTCAATGGATATTAATTTTTATTCATGTTTATCATAAACTTTCATAGAGTAAGTAAATAAATAGAAAAAGAGCGCAAATAACTATATTACAAATTTATGTACGTACAGTTAATATTTATCAATGACAAATAGCAAGTTCTTTCTTTATCAAAACGAAACATGATACAAAAATTAATACAAAAAAAATAATAAACAAATAATCATACAAAAACAAGTTACTTGTCAATGATATACAGGTAAATCTTTTTATCTATAGGTATAATTATACTCAATAGAATTTTTTTCAAACAATGTAGTATTTTCTAAAGTACTTGTATGATTTTTGTACCTGATTAATCTTCGATAGAGTTGAGTTCTTCTTCATAATCTTCATCTTCGTCTTCGTCGATATTTGACTTGTCCAAAGCTCGCTGAAGATTATCAAGAGCTGATTGTACTTGTCGATCACGTTCTTTATCATCTAATTCAGTTGCAGATGCAATGGCATTAAGTTGAACATCTTGTTCATAGGTCAGCTTTCGTACATAATTGACTGCATTGCGTATAGATGTTGCAATAGCTTTACGCATATCAGATATTGAATAATGGTATTTCCGATGAAGCCACCGAGCGTAAACTGAAATGAAAAATAGATCTGATGAAATTTATACTGGAAATCAGGACTCGACGGTCCGCAGTAAAAACGGTAACAGATAGGAATTAATTTTTAAAAGAGTTTTTGTGCTTAATAGAATTTATCGAATAAAAAAATCTTACCGTAGATATTCTGAAGTTCTTCCTCATCCATTTCCACTATTGATCCTATATTAGCACGAGCTCTTGGCGTTGGATATTTTCGACGAAAAATCTTTAATGCTGTTTTTTGAGCGGTACGACCAACAACGGTTAATAATGAAATTGGATCCAAGTTTAGTGCATCAGCAACTTCTGATTTTGATCGACCATCTCCTTGATATTGACCTTCATCAATTGAACCAAGTACCTCTTCCAGCCAACCAACAACTGGTGCAGAAGGTCGGGCTAAAATAAAAAGATATTTTAAATACAAAAAAACGCTAAAACTTACGAATTGATGAACTTCTCAGGTTATCTAATTCTTTCTTGAGAAGAGCATAATCTTTTCTCAACTCTCGATTCTTTCTTTGTTCTTCATTGAAAAGACGTTTTAATTCACGATATTCCAAAGAACCTTCAATAAGTGCACGTGTATTACTGGACATCGTAGCAGGAGATCGATTGTTGCCAGTCAATCGGGAAGCACAGCCTGTAATGCTTGAAGAAGCGTTATTTTGAAGAATTTTACGTACAGGAGACCGACGAGTAATACTAAATGACACCGTATGTTTTCATATAATTATGGTTATAGTAGTTCAATAAGATCCAAACTAACAGTCTACCTGATAGATGATTCAGTATTAATCTCATTGCGCGATGAAAGGTTTAGTAAGCTATAATGAAAATAAAAAAAAATATATCGTTTTAAGATGCTATTAACCTTGCACTTGATGAAGACGATTTATTTTTAATATATCTGTTGCTTTCTGCTGTTGATACACCCAAAGGTGACGTACTATATAAGGCGTGAAACTTCAGGAATAATAGAAGAACAATCGATTAAACTCACTGCAAACTATTTGTTGATGCTCTGTTTCCATCGTAATCCGAACTAAACAATTTGGTATTGATTTGTGTAGACCGTGTGCCATTTTTATTTTTACTATAACGCATAAAATTAAAGTATGTTTATTTCGAATACAAAAAAACAATATGTTCTGTACCTATGGTTTGATATTGGCGTGCTGCTGAGACGACTATTTGATGAAGTACCAATGTTAAGTAATTGATTCCGCCAATGTTCTTTTTTTGTACTGGCATCTAAATGATTCAGTGGTGCCAAAGAAAGTACAGGTTTCACACGAGGTGTTTTTTTATCTGTAGAATTCATCAATGATTCATGGTTTGCCTTAGCACTTACATCAGCTGATTTATAATGGTTAAGAGAAACTGGTGATTTGTTTAGTGCTTCGGCATCAGAATTATCTTGATTGATATCAGCATGGTCACAATTTTTATTATTTGATGTAGTTGATTTAGTAGCATTGTCAACCGATGTTGTGATAGACGTTTCAGACGAGACAATATCGGATGTTTCATTATCGTGATTTTCTTTCAATATTTTTAATTTTTTTGAAGATTTGTTGGTCACATGATTATTTGATCGTAATGGTCGTTTTCTTGTTGAGTATCGCATAGTTTCGTAGAAAAATGATACGACGTTGAAAGTATAATAAGAACGTAATCGAATCGAATAAGAGAAAACAATAATAAATTTTTTATGAAAAAGTGAATGAAATGTATAACCAAAGCTTGTATATTATATGTACTGAAGAAAAGTGGGGAGTATCATGGCTTATATAAGATCGGAAAAAGAAAAGAGAAAAGAAAAGAAACAAACACAGAGCGCTATCCTTTGTTTACGATAGCGTGCCTCGGCATGTGATAAATGGATGGGAACATCACGATGAAAAAAGATAGATAAAATGATGTTCGACTGTTATGCTTTCTTTCTTGGAGTAATATCACACCTCGACGATATACATGACCGACGAATATGAAATAATGAAAAACAGTGATTGGATCAATATAATAATACAGAATGATTGTTCATTGTAAATTTAGACGTCCAAACATAAATAAAAAAAAACAAAAGTCGGATGAGAAAAGTGTACGTGTGATCGAGTGCATTTCATAGTTATTTGTTCACAATACCTCGATTTCATTCTTTAAAACTATGTAGTTCGATGATAACAAAAGAAGAACATAACTAATTACAAAGTTTAAATAATTATATACTCTAAGAAATTCTATCATAATGCTATAGCTCGATCGTTTTACGGAATAGGGATGTTACTTTACCTTTACTTTATAAATAAAGATAAAGATTTACTTTATCTTTATTTTATAAAGAATAAAAATTATCTTTTTTTTTTAAAATAAAGATAAAGATAATCTTTTTTTGTAAAAATAAAGTTAAAATAAAGAATAAAGATATGTTTTTCCATGTAATAGGTACATATGCAAATAGCCTGTATAAGAACGGAATATGTTAACTAGTGTCCTTTTTTACCACCATCATCACTTCCACATGTCATATCGTCAAAAAATAAGGACCACTCATGAAACGGTACATTAGAAAAATATTATTGCATATTATATTTAACTATATAATATGATTATTTTTTGTGAAGTACTTCAACAAAATAAAAAAAATAAGTTTTGATAGGAAAAAAATTTTTTATTCTTTATTTTATCTTTATTTTTGAAAATAAAGAAAAACTTTATTTTTATTTTATAAAGATAACGAATTTTTTCCTTATCTTTATTTTATAAACTAAAGATTTTATTTATCTTTATTTCATAAATATAAAGATTTCTTTTATATTTCTTTTATAAAAAATAAAGATTTTTTAATCTCTTTATCTTTATTTTTTAAATATAAAGATTTTCTGTATCTTTATTCTTTATTATAAAGAAAATAAAAATGAAGTAACACCCCTATTACGGAATAAAGATTCCACTGTTTTTTCTACACGCATACATGTAATCAATACGTGTTCACATTAATAATAAACTCACACATATAGCGTCAAAAATTGAATGAAGTAGTTTGAGTTTTGTGAAAGGGAAAACTATTCATTTTCAGCCAGTAAAATTTTTTTAAAGAATAGACAATTTTTCTCAACTCGATTATGAGTTTCATAGTTATTGTTGACTACCGAGCAGAATACATGTATGTTTCTGGAGGAAGACTTCTTCTATCAAGTGATGTGTGTACAATCAAATCTTATTACATATTATTGATGTGTAAATAGGGATCGGCAACTTCAACGCAATCTGCTATGAACACGACACGAGTGGCACCGTCTATTGTCATATGAACATTACGCAATTGAAGTTGATAATACATATATAGAAAATAGAGGAATTTTTCTGCTACAATTTTATATATTTATTTTTTTGTATATATACAACACGTTTCGAAGTCAAAATCTTATAGTTGTCTTGAGCTACATCAATTTATTATGTTTGATACCTGAAGCTCATCTTTTTTTTGACTTTAATGCAACTAACTACATAATTCGAACGCCAGCCACTCTTTAGATAGAAACCAATATAATATAGCAAACGTAAGTATCGTAAATGTCTCAACAATATGTTTCGATCCGAAATCTATTCACATATAAACTTTTTACTGAGATTAACCTCAAGCTAAAAACCAAAGTTAGTGCTTCTAGATAAAAATCATTTATTTACATTGTTTAAATTAACCTCAAGAATACAATGAGTAGTAAGTATTTTTTGATAAAACTCATGTTTTTCTTTGTTTAGACCATGCTGGATATCAATATAAACAGTAAGTCGTTTCTCAGAATAGAAATTGTTTTTTGTTATTTAGATCAAATTCTAAGATGAAAATCAATAGTGATAATAAATAAAAATCATTTATTTATATTATTTAAATTAGCCTCAAGAATACAATGAGCAGTAAGTATTTTTTGATACACTCAAGTTTTCCTTTGTTTAGATCACGCTCCATATCAATATAAACAGTAAGTCGTTTCGTAGAAAAAAATTATTTTTTTTTATATTTAGATTAAATCTCAAGAAGAAAATCAATACTGATAACAAATAAAAATCATTTATTTATATTATTTAAATTAGCCTCAAGAATACAATGAGCAGAAAGTATTTTTTGATACACTCAAGTTTTCCTTTGTTTAGATCACGCTTCATATCATCAATATAAACAGTAAGTCGTTTCTCAGAATAGAAATTATTTTTTATTTTATTTAGATCAAATCTCGTGATAAAGATCAACAACTAGTGCCAACAGAAAAAATTATTTATGTTATTCGAATTAACTTCAATAATACAATGAGTGGTATCTTTTGATAAATTTTTTTTTTGATTTAGATCAATATCAAGACCAATATGAACATTAATTATTCATAGAAAACATTATATATATTTTTTGTGCTTGGGTTTATATGGGCAGCACAATGAATAGCAATGTATTTATGTTCATTCATGCAAGTTAACAACGATTGCGATGTGTTTCATCAGATCATGAACATACTTGTACTTTGTATTCATTCTCTTCTTGCTATAGTGATATCGAATTTTTTTGTTACAACATCTCAGCCTTAATTCAGCATGTAGTAATATTTTACTTTCGTAAAGGTACGATCGAGCTCTTTTTTACTCTCCACCTTTAGTTTCTAAAGGAGACAGTTACCTAGGAAGAAACCTATATATACTATTCAAATGCATTTTTTATTAAGTAGTAATTTAAATCTGTTATTTCTATACATTCTATGTCGCTGCACGTCACTAACATTCAAGATATAATCCAAGATATGATTATTGGACTAAGTAGGCAAGATAACACGGAAGCTTTAAAGTACTACATCACTAAAAGTGCATTTGAATAATATATATATCAGTTTCTTTCTGGATAATTGTCTTCTTTAGAAATTAAGGATGGATAGCAAAAATAGAGCTAAATCTTACCTTTACGAAAGTAAAATATAACTGCATGTTGAATTAAGTTTGAGAAGTTGTAGCAAAAAGTCTATATCACTGTAGCAAGAAGAAAAATTTAGATAATTGTTATATATAAAATATTACAAATAAATGCATAAAATAAAATTTTCAAAAATAGTCAAAACAAAATTGCATATAATTTGATGTTTCATTTGTGTTTTTCAATGCGTTTAACCGCTCAAAAGTTTGTCACCATTTTTGAAAAAAAAAGTGACCGTTTTTTGCCATCAAAAATTTAGATGCGAAAAATCTGTACAAAGGGAACAAACTATATAGAAAATTAGACACACTTTTTTTAATACCAAATTAGTACAAAAAGTGACATCCTTGTCTGCCCGGGTAATGTTGAACTTTTATTTACAAGTCAAAATTTGTACAAAATAATTGAATAACAATCACTTCAATATTTGCTTACAAAATTTCGATAATAAAATTAGTCCTTATTTTCATCAACAACAAACTGAATGAATACAAGCATATAACGTAGACAAAGTACCAGCAAAACGAAAAACAGTAATGAACCTCCAAGACGGAGAGCATTAGAAGTCATTTGGATCATGCAAGATGTCTCAAGCTTATTGACATTGCTAGAAAGTCATATCATATTTTGCGTTAGTATTCGTATTGCTAAGCGTGAAACCAAGGCTAAAAACTTTTTTCGGACGCAGACAGAAGCTAGTTTGGTTTTTTGGCCGAGCTTAGGACTAAAAACTTTTTTCTGACTAGTGTCGAGACTGGAACCAATTGCTTTTTTTTCCGACCGGGACCGGGACCAGAACCGGGACTAGGATCGGAGCCAAATTTTTTTTGATCGAGACCAGGACAGGGACCGGGACCAGAAATGATTGATCCCGCTCATCTCTACGTACGACTCTTTCTCGTAGTTGATATCGTCTTGCTTCATATTTACTCGGATACCGAGAGACAGAAACGTAGCGATTTCTCTGGTCGTCTAAGAGCAATCCATACCAATCGACATTGTCGATGAGGATTTCATCTTGTGTCGTGCCAATACGACGAGATCATCGAAGAATTCTCCGGTTCCCACGATCAGCAATAATGAAACTGTTAGTCTCCTTGTCAAACAAGACGTCGGTCGGACCGCACAATTGATCCAATCGATCTCCTTGTCCATTGTCACCAGCAATGATTTGTCCAGTGTTGTTTGTATCACCCATCTTCCATTGGACGATACGATGATTATAGGAATTAGCGATGATGATCAGCATCATCGCCTTGCTTTTTTTCTGCTGCTGTTGTTGATCATCATCATCATCATCGATGAGGCAGAGTCTTTCGGGGAACCAAAGTTGATTGATGTTCGTGCCGTTGCCATTGCCACCAGCAACAGTGACACACATTTGTGTCTACCGTGTGTTGGGTGGTAGATTAATGACTATAATGAAATGAAAGCAATAAGTATAGAGATAGAGATTATTAGTTTCGTTTGTTTTTCTATGGAATATAATAGAGACAGAGACAACGTCAATTTTGTACATTTTTTAATTTCTGTATGCATATTCTGAATACAAAAACAAAATAAGAGGTTGATAAATTATATATTATGCAGAAGGAAGACAAAAAGAATAACAACATTATGCACTTTCATTTTTTACCATCAATCTCTTTTTTTTTGTAATGCGACATAAAAAGTGGCAGATAATCATGAACTCTTTGGGTTTCATACCACTAAGTCCCACTGCATAGTTCTTCGATCCAAATAATACATGATAATATAAATAATTTTTCCTACTATTACCTTTATTTATCTTCCTCCAAAGATTCAACAAATAGAGATAAATATGGTTATATTTTCATCGATCTATCTGTGGACAAAACGAACCTAAGTAAAACTTGGATTTCACTGTTCCGCACGTTCTCAATGAATAGATTAATAGCCAAAGTTCAAGTTGAAAATTTTATGAAATTGTGTACTGTTTTCGACATGTTACTATCTGATAGAATAGAATATGAATGGGGGAGAGGGGAGCATCAATTTCTGTTTCTTTTATACTTACGAGTTCAACGTGAAGAAATGTCATCTTCTACATTAGATTGACATTCTCTTCGATTCTTATTTCATTTTGTCAAGTAAAGAACATCGAAAATAATGCTTATTTCTCAGAAAAATGCCTCATAATCGATGCATGACACATAGATATGTATAAAGGAAACAACATAATATAATTGTACGTGAATGATTAAGATATTATTAATTTGCTATTTTTTTCCTTCCTTACCTGATGATGTATTGCTTGTTGCCATGATGATGAATTAATGATATCGATGAGTATCGTGAAATCTAGAAGTAGATTGCATGAAATAACAGGTTTCGTTTTGTCCGAATACTATAACACATTTTGAAGGTGCCTACGTGAATTCAAATGATAATTTTGTCTGCGAATCATAGAAGAGGTTAAAGAACGGGGTTGTGAAAAATTTTTCCAAAAATTGAAGAGAGAAACCACTTAACACTATTTGTAAATATTAGAGAAAATAAACTTAAAAACTGTCTACTCAACTAATTGGAAAGCTGACTAGAAAATCCGATGTGAACACATCTCATCAATTACGAACTGTTTTTAAGCAACGGAAAGATTTTTTTAAAATATGCTTCATGTTTTTGTTTGAACGATATGATTGTGTTTTACTTCTAGAATTCAAAGAAGTTTTTGTGTTACTATGAGAAAACAGATCAGATACACTCAAATAGATTATTACTATGTTTTGCTTCTGCCTTCTTTGTAAAAGCAATCGATTGCAGATAAGAATAAACTTTTTTGGCATATTTTTCCAGATGAATGCCAGCTTCTATTAGTCTCACCTTTGAGTCATATGGAAGCATGTTGATAGAATGTAGATCATTTATTTTGGTACACTGACAGTTGAGCCTACATTGATTGATTGAGAAAAACACAAAATCAATATCCGATCACTTATTTCAACAAAAAATTAGTTCACAGAAATGTGCAACATATTCCAATGACCCTAACAAAATCTTATTACATTTCATCAGAACTGAATCCGTCATCTTCGTGAAAATGACCAGACTCTTGAATTTATCCGAATCTTAGTTTCTGTTAGTGTTCCATCTAATTATATTGTTAATTAATTAATTCTTAATGCCAATTGTGAAATTCTCAAAAATCAAAGATCAATTTCTACTTGATTGCTTTGGTTATCGTCAGGTAGGGTGGGTATGCATGTGCTCACGATGCAGGGCGAATGTTCTATTCAAATGCATTGAAATCTATACCCTCCTGTAATTCAAAAAGGCTTACTCATTTTTGTATAAATGACTTATTTAGATATGAAAAGATATACTAGTAAGTAATCAAACCGGTGGTAATATGGAGCTTGTTTTTATGCACTAAGGATAGATAAAAAATAGCGCACCATCAAACTATAACTTAGACTCTATCCTGCAGTGCATCAAGACTGAAAACCTGTCTTCTATTCAGTTCTATGGCGCAGTACTTTTGGATTGAAATAAGTTGTCCGGTATTGATTTTGTGCTTTTCTTAATCAATCAATGTAGGCTCAACTGTCCTGTCACTGGGTGAAATACGAAACAAAAAATTATTGCGGAAAGTGAATGAATAAAAGTTAAGAACACAGATAAATAAAATAAAAACTACGCATTTTATGATTACAAGCACAGGATTTTGAGAAATAGTAGTTATTGGTCAAAAAGCAATGATCAAAACTGTACAAACCAACGTTAGATCAACGTGAAACGAAATTTTCAACTTATTTGAATATTCTCAATGCCAGACAAATATTTTGTTTGTCGAATGATTCAGCGTTTACTTGTGTAACATAGTAACACTGTAGATTACCGATTTTACTTCTTTCTACATCCATTTCTTTTTTGCTTTTTGTTAACTTTTTGTCAACTTCACATTCTAATGAGAGAGGCTGTTCATGGCAAGCAGCCAATACTTTTTATAGAGAGACAGAGTAAATGAGAAAATAGCATCTAATTAAAGTAAATATTAAGATAAATATAATCATTGTCTTCTAAGCATGGGTTTATATTTAAATGTCAATTTTAAACTAACAATTATGAATGATCTTCAATATAATTGGATCATTTTTCAAGTTATGTATAAATATGGACGGATACAAAGTCAAAGCCATCTGATGATTCTCTTAGCAGAGATGAAATCGGGATAATGGTAGCTAGACACACCCCACGCCATCACTCGCACCCATACCGATACCCACGCCCATCAACACTCACACCCACACCCATCTCGACATCTTTAACTTTAGGTACTTTTACGTTCCGACACGGGTAGAGAAAACGCTTTTTTTATTGATCTTCTTTGAATTATATTAAAAAATAATAGGGAAGATTATTTAGTTCTAGAATTTCAAAAACAAAATATGTGTACTGCCCTACAATAATAGAAAAACTATCGTCATTGAAAAACGAAAAAGTAATATGGAATGCAGCATAATGAAATACTTTCTAACACGATTTCATGTTTTCCATTCAATGTCTATTTAATCGTTCTGCGAACTTTAGCAAGATGTTTTTTATATAATTGAAGTTGAGAATCATTTTGAGACGACAATAGTTGTTCAATCTGGATGGCTTGTCTATAAGAGATGACTGCTTTTTCATATTTACCTATACTTTCATAAATTTGACCAATATTGTCATGTATAGTCGCTGAGCTCGTTTTTTTTCGATATGAAGATCTATCCAAGTTTATTAACGTCTCGTGATATAACTCGAGGGCTTTTAGCTGGTTCCCCATTTTCTTATAGATCTCAGCTATTTTATAACAAGCCATGGCCAATTCTAAAAAGTTCACCGGAGCAGATTTTGCCAGAATGCCTCGTGTTTGTTGAAAATTCACCATTGCTTCTAGATAGTGTCCCATCTTGTCAAGTACTTTACCAATGTTGTTATGACCCATGGCTATTTTTGCATTATTTCGAAGCAAATGGTCTTCTCGAATTTTAGAAACCTTTCGAAATAATTGTAATGCTTCGGTATATTCTTTCATATTGTAATAAATCTCAGCCATATTTTCGTATGTAGTAGCCAATTTTAAATAATTCAAAGGTGTAGATTTTTTATAAATATCTAACTGTTTTTGGTAGAATCGTAAAGATTGAGAATAATCACGAAAGTATTTATAAATTTCTGCCAAATTACCATATGTAATTACTAAATCTGAATCATTTACAGGATTTATTTTTTCATGTATGTCTAGTGCCATTTCATAATACTCTTGTGCTTTTAAATATTCTTTTTTAAATTGATATACTGAACCAATATCATTGTAAAGTGTAGTCAAATGTAAATAATTCGAATCGGGTAATGATGATCGATAGATGTTTAATGTCTTTTCAAATAACATCATTGCTTGGTCGTATTCCTTTTTATTTTCTTTAACTGATCCCATTAGATGATAAAGATGGCCAAGTCCTTCTAAATCATCTTCGGATGATTTGTCGATAAGTATCTGGAGGACTTCCTCAGCTTTGTCGAACTTTCCTATTGCCAACAACAATTTACCAAGTCGGTTCCATCCTGTTGATCCTTGTGTTGCTTGACGAATATCTTCAGCGAGTTTCTTTAAATCCTTATCTTTATCACTTGTTAGTGAGAGTTCCACTTGCCACAATTCTGGTTCAAGTTGTATTATTTCTCCGACTCGAAATACCGTATACATAGTAAATAAAAACTCGTTTTCCACTTTGTAATAACTCTCATTATCCAATGAAGCGAATACAGCAGACTTGATAGAGACAGGATCAATATTTATATGAAAGACAATACCAATCAAGCGAGGATCCTGTCGAGCGCTTTGAGCAAACGTAAGAGCTGTATTCCGATCTAGAGTTGTCGATAGAAAAGAATGAAACGTATAAAGACCACCTTTCAACAAATGTAATTGCTGAAATTCTCCGTACGGTAGTCCTTGACCTCGATAAAGGGTCAATCTTTTAGATGGCGGTTCGTACAATCGTTCGATTTGTTGATGAAGGTCTTGTATAAAGAATCTCGTTTGAACAATAGCATCAATCTCTTGTAATCTTAATGCTCGATTAATCATGCCATGAATAAAACAATCTCTCGTGTACCACCAGATGGGTGTATGCGTATCATAATACTTTTCAAATTCGCCGATGATTTTCATTCTTCTTGGTATGCCTATGTTCGTTTTACGACAAAATTGAAATAATTCTTTCTTTGCATTATCATCGCCTTCCATTTGAAGAAATATCTCTTTCAGTAATTGTATATACATAAACGACGAATCATGACACTGTAAATCTACACTTGTAATACCTATTTTAATAGAATCACTCAGTAGGGTTCGGCTTTATAGTTGAATTATTATATTTAAGCATTCAACTTTTCTATTCAAGTATTCAAAACTCATGTTCAGGTATTAAACGGTCAAATTGTTCAACTTTTAGTATGTTAGTGTGTATTTCTATGACACTCATATTGAGATGGATTTGGCATTTCCCTATTTCTGCACTGTGAGACAAGTTGAATACAGAAACAGTGAGTAACTGTCTAATTCGACTTTAAAAAAAAATTCGAAATTTCATCGGCGTTTAAACAGTCAGTCGTATGCAGATGCGGTTGAAGAGATTGCCGACACTTAGTGAGGGCTGCGCGAATACAAGTACAAATTGTACTCCGGGAAAAACATGCCTCAGCTCCAACGCTGTAAATTTCTTTTGCCATGTACTCAGAAAAACCTAGAATTTGTACTCTCATCGGAATACATGACCATACATGAGAGTACAAATTCTCGAATTCAATCTTCTAAAGAGTGAAGTATTTTCTGGAGTACAAATTGTATTTGTATTCACGCATCTCTGTACTTAGTCTACTGTGCACACAGAAACGAGAATTGGTCGCGTTTCATCTGAGAAGGCGCTAGACTGACATAAAAGGTTGGCTACGCAGACAAAAACACTTCTGTAAAGTAATGAATGTTCGGAGTGATATCGAGCGTAAATAATGTAACTGAATTTTCGAAAATTTGAATATCTGAATACTTGTAAGCCAACTTTTCAACTTTAACACATACACTACTGGCCAAAAGTTCCTATCCCATCGAATCTCAGCCAATACAAGTGTTGTGATTCTAAAAGTAGTTATGTACATAGTTCTCGGTGAATGTAGGTCACCAGCAAAATCCGTGCTGTAATACCATGAAGTGTAACAGAGTAATAATTCATTTGGTGTTTCACCGTTGTGGGCTTCATGACTCAGGAAGAAAAAGATTCTATGGGTCAAGAGCCTCTTCATTTTGTAACTCTATACTCTGATTATACATGCTAAAAATACGATTGAAGCTCATCGAGCTGTTGTGATAAGGTAAAGCACAGCTGAATGATTGTTAGACAATTAAACTTCAAACTTGAAAAATGCTTCTCTACACTTGTCCATTATTCTCAGAAATATATCACTTGCTAGAGAGAAATAACGCTATAGTGAATATTAAGATATTGCCGTAGTTCTAAATACTCGAATATTCAAGCAATCGACCTGTTATTGTAATGGATTTTTTTTTGTCATTATGGAATCGTTTTATCGTGCTTTTTAAATACTGAAAAACAACATGTTAAGATAATGTCTGGTTTCTGTACAACAATCAAACTGTGAGCGAGGATCTGAATGCGAACACCTATTCATACTCTGAAAATGATTTTATTATCGATATGTTGGAGAATTATATTATTTTCTCTTCAATGATCTTCAACATGAGGAAAAACTATTATAGAATGATAATTCAGTTGCCAAGAGAATTGTTTTCCCTTATATGTTCTTGGCTTACTAAGTCAGCATTATTTAATTTGATAGAAAAAGTAAGTAGTAATGAAGTTAACAAGAGCACCTACAACAAAAGTCGATCCTGTAAAAGAAGCATAGATCGATAGTTAACAAGTTTTTAATGACTATATTTTTTTTTGAGAGTTTCTCACTCAATCTTAAATGTTTACCTGTGGCAGCCATCTTGAATGCACTACTTCAGTAATGTAGAGTTTGTTAGACAATAACAACAACAAATGCACTCTGCTCCTTTTCTTTATAGAAAAAAAGGAATAAATTTCTTATCAAAGATAATTATTTACTTAGGCATTATATATATAATCTTTTTTCTTTTCTTTTTATATATACAACTCAAAAAAATCAGACAACTTCTCTGAAGTACAAAATTCTGTGTGAACACACTCTTTGCATGATGTATACTGACTTTCCATAAAGAAATCATGGATATCGTCCAATCAATCATCAAATACTTCTGATATTTAATCTTTATGTTTATTGATAATTGCTGTGTAATTAATTAATTTTCATCCATCATACACACACACACGACGTTTTAATACATATAAAATAACTACCGTTTTTTTAACGTTCTTCTGACTTTCACTGCAGAAAGTCTACTATTCAAAAGTCTTGCCTATCTTCAGAATATCAATATTTGAATAACTCTTTTTATGAATGCATGAGGAGCGTAAGCATGTTTCTTATCTTACTTTCATTTTTATATCTGCTTTTTGTCGAGAAAGAATATTCAGGTAAATATTTACTATATTTTTAAGAATATTTTCAGGACATTGTTTCGTCAAAGTTAAAACATGATGGTAATAATATTAAAATAAAATGATTTGATCAAAATTAGTGATAGTAGGAAGTAATATCAATGATCTAGTGAATATATCTAAGAATCACTTGCTGTTCGCAATAGTTTATCAACATCAAACTTCTGGTTAAAATTCGATTGACTATTACGACTTGCAATAGAAATCTGAAATATGTTTATTTAATACAAATAATTTGTGAAAAGGCATATAATGAAACTGAGAGTCTCAGTCTTGATCTCAAGATATTTTGACCGCTTTTCCGATTCATTTTTATGAAATAAATATCGAAAATAGAAGAATTTCTATTTTTATTTAAAAAGAGTTTATTATCATAAGAAGATTGCATCGTATTAATAAAAACAAGTCTGTTTAATTGAATCAATTCTCTTCATTATTGAAGTGGATGACGCAAAACGTAAAACATAAAAGAAAAGAAGAATCTGTGAAACCATTTTTGCAAATGTGTGGTAATAATTCTGAAAACCACAAATTATTCGTACATACGAACCAACAACTAGTTCTAAAACTCCACAATCTTGAAAATTCAGTTTATAAGTTGAACTTTTCGACAACCACACTAACATGGTTGATCACTATGCACGTAAATCAGTAAATATCGGCAGTGTTTTGAACCAAGTCAAACAAATAAACCAGCTAAAATTTAAAATTTCAATTTGAATTAAAAATCATTGAAAATCTAAAAGTTTTGCTTCAATGATTGCTGTCACATTTGGTTTAATCCCATTGAATTCTACTTGCAAATTGATAACTAATAAATCAAGATCAAGTTTTTGAGAAGTAACTAGAGAATTATTTCATGTTGCGGTTGCTTAAGAATTATAATAGCAATAGATATCATAATTAAATCATCTAAACGAGCATAATACTTGAAAATAAAAGAATTTTATTAAAATCAAATTCCAGAATCAAGTTCCGTAGGGTATTGAATCAGCATAAATACGTTTACTCTTGTTGTATATTAATTGTAATGTACAATCATATTCGTAATCAATTAAATAGGATACATTAAATGATTTTATATCATCTTAAAAAATATAAAAATTGACCATTGAACTTTTCTAGAATTAAATAAACTTATTGCAAATAGAACCTGTCCAAAATCATTTTTCTGTTGATGAACATTGTATATAACATTTATACAATCTAATGATGTATTTGTCAATGTTCAATATGTGAAGAATATTTATTAAGGGTGTGAGTGTGAGTGTGGGTGTAGTAGTTGAAAATTGAATACATACTATTTTTCTTTCTTTTTTTTCTGAACATGAGATGACAGTTATCCTGTAATACAAGAAATTTCGTAATTATCAATGATATTCATACTTTTTGAATATAAAATAATATTTTCGTTGTTTTTTTCTTAATTTGATCCTTACTTTCGAATTTTTTTGCATTTATTTCATGATTTTCTAGAAGGAATTTTGGTGTGAGTGAAGAGAAGATTCATGCTTACACCATACACTTACATCCTTTCGGTTTCTTTTCATGTTAAATTTTTATAATAAAATCTATTTTGAATATAAACAAGAGTTGATTTGAATTTTTCTATAAACATGTATTATAAAAAACGTATTTGAGTATTTTTATTCATATATTCAACTAGAAAAACTTCTATATAATCAGATGAAAGTTCATTCAAACTTATCCTCCTATGAATTTTTAAACATTTAAGAATTTTTTTTCAAAAAAAAAATCGAAAATATTTTATAAAAAATAATATATTAAAATAAATATTGTTTATTAAAGGATGCCAATGAAAATGTGTTTCTTAAATGAGAAACATGCTGTTTGTAGTGATTGCTGTAAAACTCTTCGTTTTTGTCCTTTATGCAATGGAAAACTACTGACAAATATAACTGTGTCACAATCAATTGTTCATACAATTAAACAAGAACGAGAAAATTAGAAGATTTTTGTTTTCCACCTAATTTGGCTAAGGAAATACATATTGAACTGAATCAACAACTGATTGCCCATGGTTCCATGGATAAAAATTGTTCTATGAGAAATCTTCATGCTGTTAAATGTTCTCTTATTAAAACTACAATTGAGACAGACGAAGCATTGATTGATGAAATAATTGTATCTCGTTCATTATCATATATGCCAAATTTAGTAGTAATATATGGTGATGCTCATTTACCAGAATATGTATTGTTATGGAATATATAAATGGATCATCACTTGCGTTAACTCTTGCTAATAATTCAACAATTATTAGAAATTTATCTATTCGACAACGTTTGTATATTGCATTAGATATTTGTAAAGGTCTTAGCGAACTTCATTTAGTTGGAATTGTTCATCGGGATTTTAAACCACAAAATATTCTTCTTTATCAATCTTCTGATGGTATTTATATGGCAAAAGTAGTTGATTTTGGAGTTGGTTTTCAATTAGCTATTGCCTCAACACCATTTGTTAAAGAAACAGATGGTACTGTTGATTATGATGCACCAGAAGTTGTCACTGATAATAAAATGCAATCACTATTGGTTTAAAATCAGCACAAAATTCTTGCAAGATTCACAATGGATGGTGAACGTCTAAATAATTGGCTTAAAGATATACCAGGCTTTTTGCAAGATGCTATTCAACGAGCTTGGTCTATTAAACCTAATCAACGAACAAATTTAGCCGAAATAACTCATGCTATTAGAAAATCTATTAATAGAAATCAATTCTCATCTATTGATATGCTTAGAGAAACTAATAAACTACGTAAGAAGATAGCTTCTGTTCAAATTGAAGATTTTGAAATATTTAAAATATTTGTATTAAATGAGTTTAGTGAACATATGACTATTGATGATTGTGAAGCTATGCAAATGTTTATTGATGAATTACCTCCGAATTTATAAAATAAAAATAGAATTCTTTTATTCATTTTTATCAAAGAAGAATCTTATATCAAATAATCTGTTGATATTTGTTTGTTTGTCTACTCAAATCAAACAGAAAACGAGATTTTTTTGTTTGAAGATTTTAGTCGTTTTTATAAAACTTTCCTATAGATTATTGACGTCCAGAAACCCGAATCTGATGTTGGATTTTATATTCGAATTACTATTGTTCAATCAGAAACGAACGTACCGTATAGTCTTAATTTTTCTTTAAAAAAATGCGCTGTAAAATTGCCAACAAGAATGATAATTAGAAATCTAATGGAGTTAGTTTCATGATTTTTTTATATGGCTAAAAAAGAGGCATTGTATGATGGTGAAATGTTCTTTATTCTGAAAGAAATTAGAAAAAAACATCTTCTCCTTATTTCAAACAAAAATATTTTCATGATCCTGTAATTTCTCTTTCCAAGAACCATCGAACTCACTAGAGAAAGAAAAGATTCAATCTAATTGCAAACATAACTTACATGAAGTTTTTGGTACACTCATTTTATTTCCTTCCAGTGAGTTAGAAAGTCACCATTTTTTAGGTAAAAATGGGTTGAATGTATTTTTGCATCGTTCCTCGCATATTTGATTAGTACATAATCTTGTTCCGTCTCTTTGTAGACACGATTTTTGATGATCAAATAACCGATCTGATAAAATAGAAACGATTTCTCATGATATGATATACAAAATAGTGAATTTTATTTCCATTTTAAGTCCCTTCAGAACAATGGAACGTTTCACCATCATACAGTGTTTTCCTATTAGCCATATAAAAATATCATGAAACTAATTCAATTGAATTTCTACTTATCATTCTTGTTAAGAATTTGACAGTGCATCTTTTAAAACAAAAATCAAGATCATAATAGTATTTACCTATGCTACGATATATGCGAAATACTCACTGTTGTAATCGAGATTACTCGGTATTTTTTGGGTGTGGGGTATGGTTGTGGCTGTGGGCGTGTCTATTTCATACGACCATATCGTTACATCCCGTACCCACACCCACCTACACTCACATGCCGCACCCACACGATCGACTAATTGAAATGTTCGAATTGCTCTGTTGAAAAAGTCATGTCCATAACGATATTAGTTGTCGGTGTTCAATCAGATCTTGAGGGTGTGGATGTGGGTGTGAGGCTGTGGGGTGTGTGTGGGTGTGGTGTGGGTGTGAGGAGTAGGGTGTGCGTGTGTATGTGTCGGATAGGTGTTGCTCTTACGTTAGTGATACACATACCCACACCCCACACCCTACAATTATTTTTCAAAATCCCAAGTGAAGTATTTTCCTTATGAAAATCTTCTTCATTATCTAAATAATGAGAAGATTTAAATTCAAACTGATGTAACATCACTTAAGTGTGAGTCATATCATGTTTGTGTCAAAAAGAGCGTTTCTTCATCTTACTGAGCAAGACGACCAAAATCTGTACTTCGCAAACTTTTATTTCTGTTTTTTGAAGATGGCGAGAAATTTTTCAAGTATTAGAACTCATGTTGAGAAACACGAGTAAATAAGGGTAACCAACATAAAACAAGACTAATGAATCCAAAAGCAGCGTTCAATCTAACTGAGGATGATAGAAATTTGCGTATATCATTAGCGAACAGTTCATGCATGCGACTTGTATAATGATAATCGTCGATAAAGATATAAGAATTTGGGCCTTTACAGAGTACTACTATGCCTTGAATCGATGCATTCCAGCACATGTCTACAGTGTTTTGAAACGAATAGATCGAGAGAACAGCGATGATTTTTTAGACGAGTGAATAGGTATCGAACATACGTAAAGACACGTTTTTGTTGGTAGCTTGCAGTGAGTAAATCGTATCCGACAGATTGCTATTAAATTGAAGTGTCATATCACTAAAATAGGAGTCCTGGTTGAACGCATGAATATGTGATGTTGCTTGCAAAGGTGATAGATTGAAAACCAAGAGGTGTTTGATATTCATCTTAAGTAGATCCTTGCTTGCATTTGACAAACTTGCAACAACCAAAGAATGATGTATTGCCTTATTGAAGCTGAAATCGTTACTACCAGCCCAAATGATAAAGAGTGTTCGATTCAAGTTGATTGTGCTCATATTAGTCTTGCTCAAGTAGTTTGCAATTTGTTGGCGAACGCCAGATGTTGATGTTGATTCTGGCCACATGAAGCTTGGAATGAAATTGTTATCACTCGTGGCTCCGCCATACACATAATTGATTATGTTGGATACACCCAACTTGTCCACCCATATAAGGCCATTCGAGAATCGCCCCTGATAGAATGGTGGTGGAGGCCATATGTAATATGTCAACTTATAAGCATTGCCTGTGTCCGAATCTGAGTCGCCAAAAACTACTACTTTATCGAATGGAATGTGTTGGGTATTTATTTGCCAAGCGAGTAATGTGATCAGAAGGCCAAGAACGATTAACATATTAATATTATTCATTTCTCTTAGCTTCGTAGGTAAACTTTGGTATATGCGTGCTTTTTTATTTTTATTGATTCCTATATTTATCAATCAAGGGTCGACGGCAAGACTGAGAAGAGCAGTGATTAAGATAAGCAGTGTGTATAGAATTATGTTTTTATTAGATTTGTGTCGGGCAAAATTTCCATTTAGATAAAATTAGCTCTAGTTTCTGAAAAATTTCAAGGGATAAACGAAAAACGAGAGACAAATAGATAATTTGTAGTTTTTTGCGTATTTTGTGTTACGTAGAACTTTAATTAAAGTCTAGTGGATAATAAAAGTTATGGAGTTCCTTTGTGTGTTTTGTTAAAATCTATTTGAGCTTTGAAACTTGAAAAATTCTAAATAATAGACAATATAGAGTGTTTGAATGTAAGCCAGTTTAGGGTTTCAATAAAAATGATTGATGTTTTTCTTTCTCTTCGGATAATTTATTGGTGAACATGTTTTTATATGAGCGATTGATTCTGAGTCTCATCTTTTGTAATGCTTGTTGTTTATTCATGGAAAGATCGATAAATAGGACTATTTGGATGTTCTATTTCTTACGATGGAATATAAAACACTAGCAACAAGAAGATTGGTTGACCTTCATCTCTTGCAGCATGATTTTGTATTTGACAGTTGTGAAACCAGCTGACAGTAGATGATGAATTACATAGATAATTAAATCAGTAATCAGTAATATACTTTAAGTATGTTTCTATGCATAGATATACTTCGCTTTATGATAAATAAATATATGAGAATATATACACTTCAATCTTCATCAAGTGATCAAAAATATCTATTTTAGTTACAATCGAAAAAGCCACTCTCGACCAAAAAACAGAAAAAAGGTGTTAAGGTTACATCTATTGCAATAATTTTTGAATTTTAATGTTAAAAATGAATGTTTAGACGATCAAAAACGAACTTACCAATAATATTGATAGCACACAATTTTTATTGTTTTTTTTAAATATGACGGACAACTTTTGATAAAAATCTTAAACAAGGTTCATTATATTAGCTAAAATTCATTGATGAACTATCTAAACTATTCGCGTTCCCCCTGTGAGTTGTTTCAACATTAGGATATTTAAAAACATCATACATCGACTCATATATTATCACCGATTTATGAGCTCTTCCATCGCTTACTGAGAATTCAAAAACAATATTTTGTATACCAAGAGATATGCGACGCCTTGATATAAACCGTGACGTGAATTTTTTGGAATATTTATTTGAAGGGCAGCGAATAGTTTCACTATTGATAGCTGTACGATGTTTGCTTCTTCTTGATATTTTATATGTGAACACTGTTATAAATATCGTAAGAAAAAGTGAACATGAATGTACCTCTATTGTATTTGAGCTTCATTCAAAGAAGCAATTGTTTTTTTCATTGACAGCGAAACTTATGATTAACAAAAGAAAGCGCACTATCACGCCTAACGTAAATGAATTTTGCTCGCAACAGATATCAAAACGGGCGGGAAATATGTTAAATTCAAGAACGAAAAAAAAAGATTCGTCGTCAAACATGAGAAAAAAGATAGCTATCGTGTAGAAACTTCAGATATAAAAAACAAACAGAGACCTATTACGAAACGAGGACTTGACAAAATGCTCTTATTCACTTTTCTAAACTTTTCACATAAATGACTTCTCTTAGAAATCTATATACTGAAAACTCTGTCTTTTCCATTTTAGAAAAAAAGAACGTTGGCAGCAGTTATTAAGCCAACGAATGAAAGAATCTAGATTACCTGAAAGTTATCTTAACACTTAACTACATTGAAATTCACCAAAACGAAATAAAAAATGACAGTTCGATCTACCAAGACCCTATCTCTCTCATACCGAATGATTAAGCGAGTGCGTTTTGTTTATTGAATGTCAGTGATCTTATTCTCTTTCCATGTTTCATTCAAAAAATCGAAAATCAATTTCGATACGAACAACTATCATTTGCAGTAGGCGTTTCTCGATTACAATTCACAGTAGAGTAAAGATCAAAAATTTATTCTATTCCTCTAGCGTCTCATGAATCAGTTCATTTCTATCGGCAACTCTGGAATTAGAACAAAGAGAGTAGTGCGGAGCATGAGTATTCGTTTCTCTTAGTCAGGTTACGAGATTTGGATGTACTTGTGTTTTCAGACCCGTTCTCGCATGTTTCCTTGGTCACTATGCTACATCAGGAAATCCAGGCTATGATTTATTCTAAATTTCATCAATGTAGCAGACGTATCAAACAAATACAAAGTGTGTATGTCTCGTAGTTTAATTATCTGTTTCCATTGCAGCTTCATGTTATTCTGATAGATTGATGTTAGTGTCAGTCTTTTTGACATTTCGTCCTCGAGATCAAATCAAGCAATTCAGCGCTCTCTACAGTTTGAAATACCTGTTATAAGTCGTTTGTCGATAAGGTTTAGATATTAGTCCTGAATGGTGTGGGTGTGGGTGGGGTGTGGGTGTGGGTGGGATGTGGATGTTGG